AGACAACCGCACGATGCGCGTTGAGGACTACGTAGAGGGAGTCCAGGCGTACTTTCGCCTAGAGAAGGATGGGAAGGTGGAGAAAGTTCTCCATTCCCTGACTCTCCTCGTGCAAGATGACCTTCCTTTCGATGTAGTGTTAGGAATGGATTGGGGAGAGGCAGCAGGGGCCACACTCCAGTTGAGAGAGCATGAGTGTAGGCTCCCTAGTCCGTCAGGCGAGGCTAAGACTGCCTGCTTGTTCCATGTGTCTGATGTAGACAATACCTTGGCACATTGCTGTCTCAGTGCTCCCGCGTTCGCGCCATTAGTCAAAAAGGATCAGTTAGAGGAACAGGTCTTTGTAGTTTATGTTAGACATGTCACTGAGGCCCAGAAAAAGGATAGTTCCACAGATCCAACAATTGCCAAGCTGCTGGAAGAATTCAAAGACTTGACTGAGTCGCCGAGAGGAGTAGTGTCGCGACCCATCCAGCACAGGATAGAGATAGAGCCTGGCAGTAGAACTCCTAAGGGTGCAGTCTACAGGATGTCCCCTAGAGAGTTAGAGGAGCTTCRCAAACAGTTAGACGAGCTCCTTGAGAAAGGTTGGATCAGGCCCAGTTCGTCTCCTTTTGGAGCACCCGTTTTGTTTGTCCCCAAGAAGGAAGGAGAGTTGAGAATGTGTATAGACTATAGGGGATTAAATGCGATCACCGTAAAGAATGCTGAGCCGCTGCCCAGGATAGACGATCTAAGCTGAGAATGTGTATAGACTCTAGGGGATTAAATGCGATCACCGTAAAGAATGCTGAGCCGCTGCCCAGGATAGACGATCTTTTAGATCGGGTGCGGGGTTGCAAGTATTTCTCTAAGATAGACTTAAAATCCGGATATCATGAGATAGAGGTCCATCCTGATGACTAGTACAAGACTGCGTTCCGGACGAGATACAGGCATTATGAGTTCATAGTGATGCCCTTTGGACTAACCAACGCGCCAGCTACTTTTCAACGTTGTATGAATGACTTGTTTAGACCATGGTTGGATAAATTTGTAGTAGTCTACTTAGATGATATCCTAGTCTTTAGTAAGACCCTCCAGGAGCACCGGGGTCATCTGAGGCAGGTCTTGGAGAAGCTTAGAGAGGCTAACTTCAAGATCAACGCGAAGAAGTGCGAGTGGGCCAAGACGCAAGTCTTATACTTGGGCCACGTGTTGGACGGAGATGGCATTAAGCCAGAGGACAGCAAGATCGCGGCGATCAGAGATTGGCCGACGCCCCGCACATTGACAGAGTTGCGGTCGTTCCTAGACTTAGCTAACTACTTTAGGAAGTTCGTAAGGAACTTCTCTACTATCGCCGCTCCCTTGCGCAGGTTGCTGAAGAAAGAGGCAATCTGGCAATGGGACAAAGACTGTATGTCTGCGCTCAAGAAGCTAAAACGCGCGTTAATAGAATATCATGTCCTCAAAGTTGCAGATCCGTCTTTGCCATTTGTCGTCACCACGGACGCGAGTCAGTATGGGATAGGCGGTGTGTTGCAGCAAGATGACGGCAATGGCTATAGACCCGTAGAGTTCATGTCAGCGAGGATGCCCTGTGAGAAGGTCGCTACCTCCACGTACGAGAGAGAACTCTACGCTCTCAGGCAGGCTTTAGACCATTGGAAGCACTACCTGCTTGGGAGGCACTTCAAAGTCTATTCGGACCATGAAACGCTTAGATGGTTGAAGACCCAGGCCAAGATGATACCTAAGTTGACTAGGTGGGCCGCAGAGATAGACCAATTCGACTTTGAGGTCAAGCCAGTGAAGGGCAAGTATAACGTGGTTGCGGATGCTCTAAGTAAGAGATAAGACTACTTTGGAGTTGTAGTACACTATCTGGATATAGGGAAAGACCTGCAGGAGAAAGTGAAGCAAGTGTATGCGCAGGACCCTATCTATAACGACCTCCTAAAGAGAGTTAGAGAGACCCCAAAGACCGAACCAGATTACCGCACTACAGACGGGTTGTTGTTCGAGAAGACTAATGTGTTTGACCGTCTGTGCGTTCCTAACAGCGAAGAGATCCGCAGTTTGGTTTTAGGGGAATGCCACGATACTGAAGGGCATTTCGGTTGGCAAAAGAYATTAGCCAACCTGATGCGTGCGTATACCTGGCCAGGGATGAAGAATGACTGCATAGAGTATGTCCGCAGTTGTAAAGTGTGSCAGAGAAATAARTCTACTACACRCGCGCCCTTAGGTCTTCTCAGRCCCTTGCCTATYMYGGATTAGCCGGGAGACTCAGTGTCTATAGACTTCATGGACACGCAAGTCAAGAGTAGACATGGTAAGAGCCAAGTCATGGTCATAGTCGACCGTTTTAGTAAGTATGCAGTTTTTGTTCCCTTGCCTGCAGAGGCACGTACAGATTTAGTAAYACAGAAGTTTTTTGACTTTTGGGTTAGTGAGAATGRAATCCCATTGTCAATTGTTAGTGATAGAGATAGTCGCTTCACCAGCCACAACTGGCAAGAACTCATGAGAGTTTACGGATCTAAGTTGTTAATGTCATCTGACCGTCACCCAGAGACTAACGGTCAGACAGAACAGATGAACAAGATCCTACACCAAGTTCTGCGCATGTACATTAGACCAGATCAGATTAACTGGGATGAGATGTTGCCTAAAGTAGCTAGTGCATGCAACAACAGCGTGCATCTATCGACCTGCCGCACTCCCAATGAGTTGCACAAGTCCTTTAGACCACGCAGACCGTTCGAAGGACTGAACCGGGATCAGATTCACAGACTACCGCCCGGAACCAGGGAGTTTGCTTTGCAGCATGAGAAAGAGTTAGCAACTGTTGTTGAGAACCTCAKAAAGACCCWACATAGAATGATAGAACAGGCTAATAAGCACCGTCGCCCCTCACAGTTTCAAGTAGGCGACTTAGTCTGGGTCAAGTCTAAAGAGTTTGCACCTAAGGAGCACATCTCGCAGAAGTTATTGCCTGCCTATAAAGGACCGTGGCCGGTATTAGAAGTCAAAGGCGGAGAGGATGGACCGTCCTATACTATAGAGATCCCAGCACACCTCCACACGTACCTAGTCTTCCATGCTTCCAAGTTGCTGCCGTGTGTCACAAGTGAACAGTTCCCCTCGAGAAGATCCAT